CTACCATTCCTAAAGCAACATAATAGACCTGTGCTGCTCTGGCCGGACTTGGCGAGCTGCCACTATGGGAAAAAGGCATTCGAGTGGTACAATGCGAACAACGTGGTTGTGGTACCAAAAAACCACAACCCTCCCAACAGCCCAGAACTCCCCCCTATCGAACGGCCTTGGTCAAACGAAATCTCAAAAAACTTATAAATCCATAGAAAACGAGCAGCAGTTTAAATCGAACTGTTCGAGACCACTGTGCAAAATTTAATGGAAGGGGTTAAGCGGAAGGCACGGCAGTTTGGATTTGGCAAACCAAAAGAATAAACGAACATTCTTTCCATTAAATATATGAATTGAACTACCAAAAGAAAAATAAGAAGATTTTTGTGATATGAATTTTGACTGAAAGAAACTATTTTTTTGTCGACCAATTTTCGTGCGTTCCTGTCTTTAATAAGCATCTAGAATAAGCATTTTGAAAAAGCATCTACACGCAAACCAAAAATCTATTACAATGAATGTTAGTTCCGTTCCCTATCATCCTCTGTTCATGAACATCGCAACGGATGTTGGAAATTGACCATGCAAGGGATGTAATGGTTTTTTGTCTTGTTTTATTTTGTGTTCTATCTACGCTTTCGAATATACCAGTAAGCTTGTAGAACGACGACGCACATTGTAGAACGACTGTAGCCTTTTAGCTGCTCAGAAGGGAAAACGGGTAAGGTTATGCTGAGCACTGGGTCGCTAATACTCAATGAGCACTATCACACAACGTCAACAGAATATTCATTTTAGCCGGCGCTATACTTTCGTCAACAATTGACTTTTCCAGGTAAAGGGAACGGTTACCAATCAAAACACCAAGGTAAAAATATCTAAGGTATAGTGGACTTAAAAGGTTGAGGCCTGGGTTCCCCTTTTTGGATACGGAATCATACAGAACGAGAACGGTGTATATAAATTACCTTTGGGAATGCTTGCTTGAAAGAAAGCCAACTACTACCTCATTACATGCCTAATTTGTTTTTATTACCCCATACTGGGGCTTTTGTTTTAAAGAGAGATAGACATCTTTATGGGTGTACTACTTGCGGTTTTTTCTGCAGTGGTGTTGATGGTGAACGATGGCTTCGGTGGCTAGCATTGGTGGTGGTGGTGGCAGGTGATAATTGAAACGTCTTGGTGGCTTCTGAACAGTGGGTGATGGTCACGGCCCGGTTCAACCGTATTGGGGGTTGATCAACGGACTATTCAGGCAGACGACCTGTATTGTTGGCAGCTGCGTGTTGTCTGGGCAGCTTCCAAGATGGCGCTGGGAAAATGGCCGCAATACGTTCTCCTTCAATCCAATTCGACCGAACTTCCTTCCCAAAATGTCACGGAATATCGGCGTCTTACAAGGATACCGACGTGCTTCGTCTAGCACTCGGCCTACGCTATTGCTGTGGGATATATACAACCCTTCTGGATGACACCAGAAGACGTAAACGAAAAGGCCCGAATATGGACCTATTCAGGGTTATAAGTACACCTCTATAATATCTCTCTCAAATGCCACTAACTCTATTTAAAAGGAATGAATGTTGTTACCTTTTCTTATAATCTTCACGCTGACACCAGACGCTGACGGCTTTGACTACGGATAACAATAGCTAACTGTGTTTAACAAAGCGTACAATTAGGCTATAGATTTTTTTTACGTACTACTACCACAGACAAACAGACATAACACTCGCAAGATGTTCATAGAACAAGCATTTAACGGTCAATTTAAAAGTATAGTAGTTGGTAGTACAGCCACCTGTGGCGTACATAGTCAATTCCCTTGCGTTTGACGTTTACACACTACCGCCATCTGTTCAGCGTACTACCCACCACAGTGTACTCAACAGATGGCGGTAATGTTTTAGCGGCGATGTTTTACATTGAGAAATATTCAATGTGTTATGTCTGTTTGTCTGTGCTACAACTGTAACTGACCGTACTATTAACGTTTTGTACAAGCACTACTTTTTATGAATTGTTTGTGACCGTCCAACTATCGACTAACTGCAAGAAAGCACTACAAAAAGAATAATTATATACACCATTTTATTTAACTTTAACACTCTTACACTTTAAATTATCGCGCACTTCGACTACCTTGTAAGTCACGGACAGGAATGAGAGCGACCAATGCTTTGAAGCGGTTATTTAATACCTTGGTTAAAATATTCTGAAATATCTTCGGGAAAATCCGAAGTTTGACATGTCTTTTCTTTACGGTTGGTAACCCTTCCAAACAAGGAACTCTTTGTCGACTACTAAGATGGGTGTTATCTTGGCTACCACCGCTGTCAACAAACACCCTGTGAGAGTTGTGTAACGCGTACTCATTAAATAAATGGACGGCTCTGCGCATTTTTTTAATGACAGCTAAGGATGCAACCGCCAGTGAGGCTGTCCGATATTCTACAGGCTTGGATTAAGGAATTAGGTTCTCACTGGCAGGCGTGACAAATGACATTGGGATGCTTGTGGAGGAGCCAACAAGCTACAAGATTGGGACCAACGGTTACACGACGCACACACTTGCCTCGAATCTCTCCAGCAGAAAAAAGCATACGAAGTCGAGTATGCAAGAAAATGAGCGCTTCATGTTTGCTTTAGGGACTAAACAGTTTCAGAAGCATGGAGAGAGAGAGCAGTGGAGAAAGCACAGGTCTGATAATCGCAACGTTCGTGGTTCGCGTCCAGTCGGCAATCCTGTTTCCTATTTTTGTTTTGACATAACTAAATTACCTCATTAATACACTCTACATTTGCGGTCTTGCATTGGACCGCAGCTAGGTATATCGCATCCTCGGTTCATGCGGTCTCCACTAACATCCTCTGATGATGAATCCCACATAATTGTAAGCGAATCTTACATCCCCCGGTTGGGTGTATTCTTATGGAATTTCGAGGAGATTAGAGATTAATTCAGAAAAGGCTTTGTGAGGAAAGCTTCTCAAAATACTTGGGCAATTTAGAGGTAAGATTATATGGCGATTTTGAGTAAATGTCCAGGCTAATTTTCGAGAATCTCAGAGAAGAACTCGAAGAGAATTCAGAGGTAATTCCAAAAGATATCCAAAACTCCACAACCAATTACCAAAACAGAATGAAGGACAGAACTTCTTAGGAGTTTTGACATTAATTTGAAAATAATTGTGATAAGAATTCGAAAGGAATCTGAATCTGAAGTTGATGGAATCTCAAGGAGAATTTAGTATTTTCGGCAGCGTCAAGGAGAGGTTATTTGGCAAAAATTTTGAGTTAAATTTCATGGAAATTTAAAATATGTAGAACGGAATTTTCGGAAAATTGTAACGACATTTTATGGAAAATTCGAGAGGAATTTTGAAAAATTTAGATGGAATTCAGAAAATAACTCAGAGGGTGATAAAGAAGAAGTTTCAAAAGGAATTCCAAAGGATTTCTGATATGAAATCCATAGAAATCTTAATTTGATAAAAGTTACATATATTCAATATATACAATTCTGAATTTTAATAACATTCATTCACGTAGACTTGTATTTCATTTCACGCAACCGAGCAACTTGTAAATAATGTTGTTTACAAAGATGGGCTATTGTATACAATATTTGCTACATTGCATGAAATGTGTCAGAACTTTACATGATATATAATGTAAAGTATATGATATGTGACGCTCCAATTATGTGCATCATATGAGGTCGTATGAATAAAAGCGTTTACTTTACTTTTCCCGTAAGAAAAGCACGGGAAAGTAAAGTAAACTCTTTTTATTCATACGGCCCATTGAACCGAAATTTACACTACTTCTTCGAACTGTGAAGCTTCTTAAGCAGATTATTATAGCAACTTCTTTTGGACGCTTGTCGGTCGCTCCGCTCCTCTGACTAAAAAAAAACATCTGAGTACTTACACACTACGAAAAAGTCATGAAAATTTCGGTTCCCTGAGACCGAAACATGCAAACAGCCCTAATGACATAAGAAGCAGTTGAAAGAACCGAGAAAATCAATTCAATTAAACGCATGTTTACGTTGTTTACGTCCCATGATTTACGTAAAGGATGAATAAAGTCACGTTTAAAAATAGTTACTTCAAAGTGTGACGTTGTTAAGGAGCAATTTTTCAAGGTTTATGGATCATAATTTAAAAATTAGTGTCCAACATATGATAAATAAATGTGGCTCATTTGCTATATGTTTATAGGTAATACGCACAATTTCGCTTAATCTTTAGAAATTTAGCGGTACATTTTTACAATTGTGTTGCTAAATCTTACATAAAATATGGATCATATTGATATTTTTTGGATCATTCTCACTTTTTTTACGGATTTTCACCGGGGTTTTATGGATCATTTGTATGTTTTTAAGATACGTTTTAATTTTTTATATGGATCATTTATTAGTTTATATTTTCAAAAGTATGTTTGCTGTATCTATAGTAGTAGTCAGTGTTCACTCGGCTGTCGACAACAGCAGACCACTCTCAATGTGTTTCACGCGATCGTCTGTTTACTCGGCAGCAACCATTGTGTGGTCCTCCTCATTGTTCTTCATCAGCAGTTCTTTCAGTCGATGCGTCGACTGGAGAGGAGCGGGCTGGTTGGATTTGAGAAAGCCAGAGTCAATCGAGCAGCGTCTATCTTGATTGCATTGGCAGTGTTGCAAGCAACCACCTAAGCACAGGCTACCAAGGCAGTTTGTTTTAAATCCGCTCATTTCCTATACTAGACCCTTTCTAGTTTGAACCAGTTCCAACCCAGTGTCTGTGTGAACCTCAACTTGAGGTAGGTTGGAGCTGAATCAAAAGCAATTTAAATAACCCATTTGTGACATTGATGTAAATTTCTTAAAAATATTGTGTAAATTCGATAAATATTACTTTTTGTCCATTCAGATTTACAGGGTGCGATTAAATGAAATGACACTGCCTTAAAAATTACGGACAGTTCACGGACAGCCTATAATTGAGGTATAAACTTACCAGAAGCACGCTTCTCGGCTGATGATTTATCCTTGTCGCTGTCGTAGTCCAAGCCATCTTTCGTTATCAATGAGGGATAGTCATCACTCCAACTAGGTACGCTGTCCTCGTCGTAGTCGAACAAGCTATTTCTGAAAGTAAATGGCTTCCTTACAACTTCAATGTTCCATAATCATCAAACCAAGAATCCTCACCTCGCTCGCTTTCCCAGTCCAAAGTTGTAGTGGGGCAACCGTTTCGCTCCGGGAACGTCCTCGATGATGTACCTTCGCTTGCCGAGACCAAAGTTATACTTGGGTGAACGCACCGCTAGCATATGTTGGAAAGTCGACTGCGATATCTCCCGCTGTCCTCGATCGTCTCCGACGTCTGATTCTACACTTCCACCGCCTCCTCCGGCTCCACTGCTGAAAAGTGATTGATCTGACCCCGAGCTGGAACCAATCGAAGTACCGTACGCTGCACACGCCAGGCACAGGACGATGGCACTGTAGCTCAGGATGACCAGCGGAGTTGTACTCGGGCGCATTTTGAAGCTGCTCTCGGCGGGTCTGGTGCCTAGGAACTAGAAATGTGGGATAGCTGTAAGAAAATGGAAGTGTGAAATGAAAAGTTAGAACGTTGATTTGTGAAATAAATATCAAATCTATTAGATACATCACACTACAATTTCAATCACAGGCCTTGATTTTTAAACCAAAATGCTTCTATTGAAGCGAAACAGTAATAAAAATAGCCATTACAATTTTTTTTATTATTACAGAGCACTCGACGAGCATTACGCTTATGAACGTATTTTTTTCGATGCTTTCTATCATCAGCCTAAAAGCTACAACTGCGGCATTTGGGAGTACGGTAGTCGACCTTTTTGACGTGTGTGGAATGTTTTTATTCCTATTTTGGCGGTGGTCGTCACTTTGAAAAGTTCATAAAAGTCGTAAACGACAGAGCATAACTGCTGGATGAGGATTTTTTAAAGCTACGCTACGATTGACTGATGGAACGCACTTGGCACCTGTTGCTGTAAGTGGATGTATAAATTTCAGATTGATATTGGCTTGTTATCTTGGTTTTTGCAGGAAAAAAAAATGTTACACATTTAAGAGACGCTTGACATTATTCGCTGAACATGTTTGCAGATATCTAAAATTATAGTTGACACATTAAAAACGCTGCCATTAAGGCATTTTTTGAGTAAATCTTGTGTAAGGTGTTAATTTTTATTTATTCGATATGAATTTCTACATGTGGGGGGATGGAGGGTTTGCAAATTTTCGAAAAGGGGTAATGAAACGGAAAAGATTGAAAACCACTGGTGTATAAGGTTAAATGTTTGTATGAAGTTTTCCAAATTTAACTAAAATCGTCTTACATTGATTCATTATGTCCTGAGTCCAATACGTTGGGCCTATCTCTAACTCAGTTTTCAAGCGATTTCTGCCTGAAATAAATATGAATTTAAATAAGTGAATGACAAGTGACCACAACGTCACTAGTTACCATTTTTTTTTTCTTATATGGCTTATATACGGCTAATGTACAATTTGAAAGTCCTATAGTAAGCGAGCTTGTTGGTTACGTGGACAAAAAATCGTTGGTATAAAACAATTCTTCAATTCTGGATTTCAGCGATAGCCCTCGCTATAGGAACATTCCATATTCGATTTAATTCGATTGGCCCAGAATAGGGGTATGAGGTGAAAATAGATCCGGTAACCCTATATGTACATACAAGTTATTCAGTTCTTACTCAACGTTCCACAGATGGAGATGACAGAGTAAATGGTGAAATTTCTGATAAGGAACTTCTATTTAAAATGTGAGTCAAGGGCTTTCAACGTTATCGAGAACTCGTCAATGAGACCGATAATGTCAACAGAGTGATGAGTGCATTGATATGTCTTGTGATATTATATCTGAATTTGTTTATGCAATCACTTCTACACAAAATATGTCGTGGGATGATGGGATCGATTCTGATTTTAGGATATTAACTTCCTTAGTGAATCATTCCCCCTTATTCTGCGCCGCGAATGAGGTTAGGTGACTCACTGTCACTAGCGAGTGAGGTGACTTTTCGTGCAAATCAGAAGGCCTCATTGGCAGAATAGGCCTCATTGTGTATTTCAGATAATATATAAATGCATAAAGGGAATCAGGGTAGTGTTTCCTTGATTGTTTGATCAAAAATCACGATTCCAGATTTCTTAGAATGTGATTTAGTTTCCCGGGAATCAGGTTTTTGTACCAAAGGCCTGCGGAACATTTTTACTAAATAATAGACCATTTCTCACTCGGAAAACCATTTCTGTGAAATTCGTTTTCGCTTGGGAAGCTGGAAAAAAAACTTCCGGGAGGTATTGGAAGAAGTTTCTGCGAGAAGTTGAAAGAAACATCCGGAGGAAACAGAATTAGGCTACTCGAGCAAATTGGAAGAAATTTCCAGGGGAGATCAGAAAAACAAATTCGATAAATCTTCGAAGGAACATCTGGAGGAAGACTGAAAAATATCCGGAGAAAGACAGAAGATAAATCCAGTAAAAACATGTGAAAAAAGTATGAAGAATGTTCCAGGAACAGTCGTAAGCAGGCATGGAAAATCATTTACATTCATTTCATACAATCATTTACATTCATTTGCCTCTAACTTTTTTCATCAACAGCATTCCGCAAAATGATGTGAAGAGCTTTTGTAGGTTTTGTTGTTAGCTAAAACAATTGCTCATAACTCAAATCTGTATCTCTTATGCATCACGAACTAGAGCTGGCAGAACTTGTTACTGTTTTTCAGTGAATGTAAATTACATTCACTGAAAAACAGTAGTGGCTTCTGTTCGCTCTGGTTCGTCATACATCAGAGATATGGATTTGACTTGTTAACAAAAGTTTTAGCTAATAACAAAACCTACAAAAGCTATTTACATCATTTTGCGGAGTGCTGTTAATGAAAAAAGTTAGAGGCAAATGAATGTAAATGAATGCACGAAATGAATGCAAATGATTTTCCATGCTTGGTCGTAAGTCACTTCCATGAAAAGTCACTCATAGTTCTGGAGGAATTCGGTAAACAGCTCCTGAAGTAGTAGATGAGAAGTGAATACAAACTTCCGGGAAATGTCGGTTACAGCTTATTGAAAATATTGAAGACAATTCCAGGGGAAGCCAAAATAAGCTCGGATAAAGCTTCTAGAGGAAGTCGGTTAAACCCTCGGGAAGAGCTTGACAAATACTTTCGGTAGATGTAGAAAAGCTTCCTGGAGAAGACAGAAGCTGGAAGAAACCGATGGAGGTGACGTATATAAATCTCAATTCTAGATGCTCGAATAATCCCAACCCTAGCGAATGAATCTCCGAGAAATCTTCCATCATTTTTCGCATCTACTTGCACTGCTATCTGTAACAAGTACGCTTTTCCATTTATTTACACGGAAACAAATCCGATTCCGAATAAAAAATAATGAAATGAAACAACTTGCCATCCCATGAAATCGTAACAATGATTCATGATTTCGTCATAAAAATTCATGATGGAATCACTACAAGCGTTACACGTACTTGACAAACCGTGTTCATAAACCACACTACATATATATCTCTTATTCTCCGTTTGTCTTCCATCTTATACAAGTACTGATAGTCTAGTAGTCAAAGTATGGGTTTAAGGATCTCAAGGTTCTTGGTTCGAATCCAGTCTGATGCTTTATTTTATTCTTTTTACATTTTTGGTTAAAAGTTAAACCCATGAATTTAGCTCATGATTTCAACTCGGATGATTCATGATTTTTGCTGCGTTACGCAAAAGTTGTTCATGATATCATGAATATTATTCATGGTGTATTTTCATAACTCATGAAAACACGCTGTGTTCATGAAATCATGAGTCATTTTTCTCATTTCGGAGATCGGATTTTTTCCCGTGTAGTTAGTTATTTATTTGCATAGAATTCCTTACTATACAATTTTCACATTTAAGTATATTGCATGAACGTTCGTTTTTACAATTATATTCATAAATGTATTCACCGCCAAGGAACGTACGTTTACTTATATATATAGTTACACTTGTCATACAAAAACCAACAAGTTCCCGATACGTTCAGCTAATTCACTCCATTTGACCCGAATACGCTACCTGTTCGTTAAAGTCCGGGGTTCGAATCCGAACCGTTCTCTCGTATAAAAGAGTAACCGAAAATAGATTTGAGCAAGATAGTAGATTGAAATTGCATGATAAGGAAAGAGATGTAGCATTGAATGGTTACAGAGAAAGGTGACGAAAATTGTCGTTTGGAAGGTCGTTGAATTACTTCGGTAATTTGATGTACTTCCGGCCACGATGACCGTTGAATTCACACCTATCTGAGGGTACTGGAACTTCTACTCGTTCACTTTGACTTGAACCGTGGAAGAGGCGGGAGTGCGAGTAGTTTAGTTTGTACCTAAGTGTACTTAGTGTCGCGGTGTGTTTTTCGAGGTACGTGAAGTTAAAAATGTGAGGAGTCTAAAAGTCCGAATTTAATGTTACTTCTTTGTTCCTTTCCGTTAGCCTGTAGAGTGCAAACTGTAGGTTAGAAGTTCCGTGCGGCCCACTTATTGTGTGTGCAAAGTTCGTAGAAAAGTAAGGTGAATAGTGTCTTTTGTGTGTAGATGTAACTGAAATGTGTCGAACAGCCGTTCGACGGCTTTTTGTGTAGGATCGTTTTGTGCAGATTGGAGTTTGCACCGCATCGCTTCTAGCGATAGATGGCTTTCCCGGCACACCGCATCCAAGGAATTAAATCGCGCTCTCTAGACTCTAGAGGATTAAGGGCCGTTTCTTCAACTACAGTATCATCAACGTGCACTGCCCACACGAAGGGAGACCCGACGACGAGAAAGAAGCGTTCTATGCGCAGCTGGAGTAGGTGTACGACGGCTGTTCGCAACGGGACGTCAAAATCGTCATTGGTGACATGAACGCTCAGGTAGGACGGGAGGCAATGTATAGACCGGCAATCGGGCCAAACAGCCTGCATGCCGTATCGAACGACAACGGCCAACGATGCGTGAACTTTGCAGCCTCTCGGGGTATGGTAGTTCGAAGTACCTTTTTCCCCCGCAAGGATATCCACAAAGCCACCTGGAGATCACCTGACCAACACACAGAAAACCAAATCGATCACGTTCTAATCGACGGGAAATTCTTCTCCGACATTATCAACGTCCGCACGTACCGCAGTGCGAACATAGATTCGGACCACTACCTAGTTGCAGTATGCATGCGCTCAAAACTCTCGACGGTGCATAACACACGTCGAAGTCGAACGCCGCGACCCAACATTGAGCAACTACGGGACGCCGGAGTTGCCCAGGACTACGCGCAGCAGCTGGAAGTTGCACTACCCATGGAAGAGCAGCTTGGCGCAGCTTCTCTTGAAGATGGCTGGAGGGACATCCGTTCAGCCATAGGTAGTACTGCTGCAGCGGCACTAAATAGGTGCTGTAATCCCGGACCGAAGAAATGACTGGTTTGACGGCGAATGCAAACTGTTAGTAGAGGAGAAGAATGCAGCACGGGCGAGAATGCTGCAACACCACACGAG